CCCCAAAACCCCAAAACCCCAAAACCCCAAAACCCCACTATTCTCAGTAACAATCATTTTTTAAGGTTAGAATGAATATAACTATATTATTTTGTCAAGCTTAAATATTTACTATAATATATAACTAATTTACTGCTGAGATTCAGTTTACAAAGAAATTTCTCAAGAGTTTGTCATTAAGCAGTATGGTAATTAATTTCATACTATTTTTATTGAATTTATAACAGGAATACTTCCTTTAAAAATTGAACATCAATGAATCTTCACTATTACTCTTTCTACCTTTTAAAGCTTGTTTGTTTCGTCATTTCAGGAGTTTAAATAAGTTAAATTTTATTAGCATCAATGTAAGTCAACCTTCTCTGCTTTTATTAGAGTTAAGTAAATAATTATTGATTAAGTTCATTGCTATTACAAACCGAATACTTTCCACTATGAGCTTAAGGAATCTTTCTCTATTAAGGCTACTCGTCTTCATATTGTCTGTTTGAGTCAGTGACACTATGCTAGTTATTTCTGGATGCTTTGATTTTAGAAAGTGCACTTTATTGATATTAATGATTATTGTTTTAATTCAAGTGAAATTTACTGTTCATTTAAGTGTTATTCGAAGAATTTTATAACTAATTTGGTTGATTGTAAATAGGGGGCATGCTTAATTGCTTTGCCTATTGAAATTCAATAATTTCAGATATAGCTTGCTTATGATTATATTTGCTATGTTTTTCAGCCTTTTCCAAATATCTATTTTGATTTAATGTTTATGTTCTCATCAGTAGTTAGCTATTAGATGAAGGATTCTCCTTTGTTTAAGTATTGCACTTTGCAAGTTTGATTTAAAGATTTGTAGGATTTTAATTGGGCAGAATTTATTTTTATTCAAATGCTTATGTAAAGTTGTTTTACTAAAGTCTTACCGTATTTTCAATGATTGGGGAATTTTAATCTCGAGGCCTCTTTAAATTAAATTTCCCTTTGCTAGATCCTAGTTAAGGACTTTCTGATGGAAAATTTCTGACCAATTCATCTTATTAGTTAGATGTGAGATTAAATTCTGATTTATAGGCGTTTTTAGAGATTTGATATCTATTAAAAAGTTTTTCCTCAGACTATTTTTATCCCAAAGAATGTAATGTTTCTTCTGGCAATTTCTCATGATTTGGCTTCATTCCAGGAATCATTAGGATCTGAGAAGGCTTCTTCTTCATTGATTAGCTATTCATATAGTAATTTATCTTTTAAGTAGCATCTTTTCTCAAAGCTGGACTAGGTGAAGTCATCTTACTCTAAAAATATGCCTCATTACTTGCCTTTTAACCACTGTTTTGATAAGAGCTAATTTTTTCTCTTTCTCTTTATATTACACCGAATATCTCTTTTTTAGTATTTGTCTTCTTAATAGAGAATTCCCTAGAATCTTCTCTTTAAGAAAACTTGCTTTGAATTTATGGCAAAAATGTTTTAGGTACATCACTATTTCTCTTAGAAGCCTCTGTGATAGCTGTGTTATCCTGATTCTCTAGAAACGACCCCAAACTAAAAGAATGATAGTCTATATTCTCTTCTGAGCATTTATATATTTCATTTTTCAGCTTCTTAATATAGGAGGCATCTTATGCATTAGATAAAAATGCAAAATGAGAGTCATTAGGTTGCACATCAGAAAGTTCCATTGAATTATCATTGAAAAAATTAAGCTTTCTATTTACGTTTTATTGGCCAGGCTCATTGTTTTATTTGCAAATTTATAGGAATGTTGCTGCTTTTATGACTTTAGATAAAAGAGTATGAATGTTGTATTATTGCATCTCCTCAGTTCTAGTGAGAGGTATTTTATCATTTGAGTTTCTTGTGATCCAAGGATGCTAAAGAGCTCTCTTTGCATCATATCTCTATAATTATGATATTCTGCATATTCGACTGATAAAATCTTTTGCTAAACTAAATTTCTTTAAAAGTAATTATTTACATTGATATTTATGGTGGGTAGTACCATTTCTCTGGCTCTATTGTTGTTACCTTTCGTTTATAATTTATTTAATTATCCCCATAATCATATATAGGATGCTTTCCGCAAAGCATATAGTATAGAACTATTCCGCAAGCAAACATATCGATTTTCTACAATTATTATAATTCTTACTATTTACCTTTCCATAAGTTTAAATCGAGATTTACTCAGGCGCCATGTATAATAAGGTTCCTATTCTATCATCTATTTAGCATCTTTAATTAGCTTTAAATTTTGCACTCAATCCAAAGTCGACTAATTTTATATCAGAAGTTTCTATTTCATTTTAATTCATGAGTAATATATTTTCAGGTTTGATATCTCTGTGTATAATATCGTATTCATGAACATTTACCAGCCCATTTATTACCCCTTTAATGATTTTAGCTGCTTCCTCATCTGTGAACAATGGTTCCCTCAAGTAGATTTTGCTCTCATAAGCTTCATCGGGCAAAGGCTCATCATCTTAGCTACGAAGTTCATAAAATTTCTATCTGAAATAGTCTTATTTCTTTGCTGCAAATAATCTCTTATCATAAATCCTTTTAAGTTACCCTCCTGCAATATTTTCCATTTCTATAAAAATGTAGTGCTTACTCTCATACATCTATTAATAAATGATTGATATTGATATTTGATTACTTGATAGAACTGCACTACATTTAGCTTATCTCTTAATCTCCATAGTATTTCACTTTCAGTCTTAATTACATTAGTCTCTTCTATATCTAGCCTTGATTTGTATATGATCTTAAGTGCTCTTTGTTCATTATTTTCAATCTTCGTCACTAATACTACTACTCCAAACACTCCTACTCCAAGAATTCCCTTAAATTTGTAAAGGTCACCGAATTTTATTTTCTCAAGATTATTCCCTTAAAAGTCCTCCTACATATTTTCTATATCTAATCTGAACTCTTCCTCATCAAAAGATTATCTTCTTCCAAGTACTACATCCTGAATATTACTGATATTCAACTTTTGCTTTAGGATTTCCTTAATTTTTTTCCTTTTTTCTTCCTTACTGTTAGTTTTCTATAATTTATCACTATTTAGTCTGTCTGTTGCAATGTTTTCTACTAAATCTAACATTTATTAATAATCAAATATATTTTATTTTGTAAACAATTTCATTAGTATATAGTTTCTACTAATCAAAATGTATGATTAAAGTTATGGGGTTTTGGGGTTTTGGGG